AAGATAGCGCTCCTCTTGCCGTCTTACCTGATTTTCAGCTGTGCGTTTAAATATTTTCAGGGAGGGCTTATTTTCGGGGGGGAAGGTTTATTTTAGTGCATGCGCTCAAAAGCCCGATTGTTCTTATTATCAGGGGATGTCTTATTTTTGAGGAAACAGGGTACATACATACATACATATTTGAGACTCTAGAAAAGAGTGCAGAGAAGAGCAACTAAGATGATTAGGGGACTGGAGGCTAAAACATATGAAGAACGGTTGCTGGGATTGGGTAGGTCTAGGCTAGAGAAAAGGAGGACTAGAGGTGACATGATAGCAGTGCTCCAATATTTGAGGGGCTGTTACAAAGAAGAGGGGGTCAACCTATTCTCCAAGGAGGAGGAGGAGGGGGAGGGGGAGGGGGAGGGGGGGGGGGGAGGGGGGGGGGCAGGAGGAGAAGAAGAAGAAGAAGAGGAGGAGGAGGAGGAGGGGGGGAGGGGAGGGGAGGGGGAGGAGGAATTGATGGAAACTAATCAAGGAGAGAAGCAACCAAGAACCAAGAAGAAATTTCCTGACAGTGAGAACAATTAATCAGGACTTTCGGAGGGACTTTCTACCCTTCATAACTTCCAGAAGATGGGAAAGCATCTAAACTCCCTTTTCTTGACTAAGTACCCACTTAGGACCATTTTTATTGGCTTCGATGGACAGCTGTCCACCTGCTCAGGAGAACCTTCCTTCTATAATTTTTCTCTCACACACCCACCTCAAGAGCAAGGAACAGGCAGTCCCAGCATGGTGAGAAGGAGCAAACAAGCATCTCTCAGCTATGGGAAGTCTTTCATTTAGGGAGAGAAATAGCCCAAAAAAACGTTCATTTTTCCTCTCTGCTGCTCTAGGAATCCCATTTCTTCTCCAATCTGTTTACAGTTGTCTAAACCAAGCCAGTAGCCTTTAACAAATTCAGTCACATCTCAGCCCTCGGAAGAAGCTTCCGTGATGGATAGCTCCTCTCTTCTCATACTTTTATCAACAAATGTCAAAGAAGGCTCCGAAAGCCACGACATTTTGCCCAAACGGCCCAGAGGGTTTTCATTTTCTTTGCACTTCGGCTTCCTCTGTGTCTTTAATCAGAGCCAGGGGGGTGGAATTGCACTGGCCGGGCCAAGCTTTAAGGCCTGCTGTGCAACTAACAATTAGTTTAGAGACTGTGAGATCTATAACTTTGGCGGAAGGGAGTGGGTGGAGATATAAGCCGATTTGGGGAGCTCGGAGAGTCGGGGCCGCTTAATGAAGAAAAATATCACACCGGAAGGGACCAAGTGGGTTATCCCAACTTAATATCATCTGGTTGTGATTTGTAGTTGCCAATAATAGATTGTGATGGTCCACTAAGGAGGGGGGAGAAAGAGAGAGAGAGAGAGGGAGGGAGGGACGGAGGGAGAGAGAGAGAGGAGGGAAGATGGGAAGGCAGAGATGAGGCTGGACCTCAGAGTGAATTTCCAAAATGACAATTGCCATCTGTGCAAACGTCGTCCAGAGCCACCGTCTCTCTGGCAAATGGCCAAGCCTGAGATGGCCTGAGCGAAGAGAAACCAGCAGGGGAACGTCCGGCCTATTTATTGTTTATCAAAATAAACCGACTGGACGAAGACATATGCAAGGAATTTATATCAAACAGCTGCGAAAGCAAATCCCTGGGTGGGGTTGGGGGGTGACCGTGATGCGACTGGACCACACAGGAAGTCATTTGTGTGAGTCTTGGGCTTCAGGACCAGCGAGCGGCACCATGGGGCTGCGACTGTCCCTTTGCAAACTGGGCCTTCCCAGTGTTTCGCTAGGCTATGGGTCGTTTTTAATTATAGCACAAAAGGAGAAGAAGCTTGGGTAATGTAATGTGAATAGAGCAGATTTAAATTGGACTTTATGCTACAGCACTATTTTGGTAGGATGAAGCCTCATAGAGGAAACACACAGCCCTGAAGTTGGATTAAAATGACCCCGGGCTTTAAATGATTTCCTCCTCCTCCTCCTCCTCCTCCTCCTCCTCCTCCTCCTCTTCCTCTCCTTCTCCTTTTCTTCTTCTCCTCCTCCTGCTTCTCCTCCTCCTCCTCCTTCTTCTTCTTCCTCTTTCTCCTTCTCCTCCTCCTCCTCTTCCTCTTCTTCTTCTTCTTCTTCTCCCCCCTCCTCCCCTCCTCCCCCTCTTCCTCCCCCTCATCCTCCTCTCCTCCTCCTGCTTCTTCTCTTCCTCCTCCTCCCCCTCCTTCTTCCTCCTCCTCCTTCTCCTCCTCCTCCTCCTCCTCTACCTCTTCCTCCACCTCCTCCTCTTCCTCTCCTTCTCCTTCTTTTCTTCTCCTCCTCCTTCTGCTTCTCCTCCTCCTCCTCTTCCTCTTCCTCCTCCTCCTTCCTCTCCTTCTCCTCCCCTCCTCCCCTCCTCCTTCTTTTCTTCCACCACCTCCTCCAAGCTGGTTTTGTTTCTAAGGCATGACTAGAACTCACAGTCTCCTGGTTTCTAGTCTTGTGCCTTTATTGCTGCACCAGACTTGTTTTCTGAATAATTCTTCTATTCACCATTAAAGTGAGCAGGAGAAGCATTATTAATTACATTATTGTTAAAGACAACATGAATTCAACTTTAAAAAATGTCAGTTATTCAGCCCGCACTATCTGTCTGGAGACCAGACCCAGCATGTAGTGGTCAAGCTTTGCACCTTGTCCTATAAGGAACCGACAGAAAATGTTAAACATGACTAGATCGATATATATATATATATATTTTACGTGGGAGAAGACCCGAATAACCAAAGACCTACATACAAACACCCGCGAAAACCTGAGAAAACATATATATATATATATGAGGAAGGAAGGAAGGAAGGAAGGAAGGAAGGAAGGAAGGAGGGAGGGAGGGAGGGAGGGAGGGAGGGAGGGAAGGGAGTGGAGAGAGGATGGATGGATGGATGGGTGGGTCGATGGAAGGAAGGAAGTAGTGGAGAGAAGGGAGGGAGGGAGGGAGGACAAAATGCCCAGTGATATTATGTAGGAAAAATGGGGGGGAGGGTTTGAGGTGTCAGCAAATGTATGTAGGGGAAACTTTTCCACTACTGTATGTTATCATCCAGACGTGTTGGGACTGCAACTCCCAGAATCCCTAGCCAGTCTGATTTAATGTGGGGGAGTTGCATGTATTTGAAGGGGCCAGACTGGGATCTGTTGGTGTAACAGAACTGCATAGAATTCCTCTGCTGTGTTTGGAATAAATTACAAGCAACTTATCTCTGGCTTTATTGTTCTCTCGGGATGTCTTCCTTTGTCATAAAACAATAACTATTGGGATAAGTAGTACTTTTAAGGTTTACTATTCAGACAGAGTAATTGTATCTTTTAATCTGGGTCAAACTGCTCTTGCTTATTACAAATTGGCTCCAAATCTTTTCCCCCCACCACTCTGGGCAACCTTCACCCCACCCTACCTTCAAAGAGAAACGTGTGTGTAAATTCATGGTAGAATTACAACCCGGGTAGCAGAATCTAGCAACGAGGGCTACAAGGGAAGGGAAGCCTTTCTGAAAACTTCCCCATCCCCGCTCTCAAATCCAATTCCCACTTGTTTTAAACTTTATTGACCAGGTAAAGGTTATGCAGATAATCTCATAACCGATAAAAGGGAGAAGGAATTGGATCTGTCCCGGTGGATTCGGTCAAAGCTTCAAAAGGTTTGTAGGAAATGTGCTGTGCTTAGAATGGGGACAGCTTCTCCCCAGGCACATGTTGGATTGAACAAGAAAGGTAAATAAATCAAGTTACTCCAGAAAAAGAGGGCAGAGAAGGGGAGAGAATGAGAAGAGGAAGGAAGGAAGGAAAGAAGGAAGGAAGGAAGGAAGGAAGGAGAGAAAGAGAGAGAGAGAGAGAGAGAGAGAGAAAGGAAGGAATGAGAGAAAGAAATAAAGAGAGAGAATGAGAAAGAAGGAAAGAAAGAAAGAAAGAAAGAAAGAAAGAAAGAAAGAAAGAAAGAAAGAAAGAAATGGACAAAGAAAGAAAGAGAGAAAGGAAGGAAGAAGGAAGGAATGAGAGAAAGAAAGAGAATGAGAAAGAAAGAAAGAAATGGACAAAGAAAGAAAGAGAGAGAGAAAGAAAGAAGGAAGGAAGGAAGGAAGGAAGGAAAGAAAGAAAGAAAGAAAGAAAGAAAGAAAAAAGAAATGGACAAAGAAAGAGAGAGAGAGAGAGAGAAAGAAGGAAGGAAGGGCGGGAGGAAAGAAGGAGACAAAGAAAGAAAGAGAAAAAGAAGGAAGGAAGGAGAGAAAGAAAGAGAGAGAAAGAAAGAGAGAGAGAGAAAGAAAGAAGGAAAGAAAGAGAGAAAGAGGGAAAGAAAGAGAGAGAGGAAAGGAAGGAAAGAAAGAGAAAGAAAGAAAGAAAGAAAGAAAGAAAGAAAGAAAGAAAGAAAGAAAGAAAGAAAGCATTTATTCTCTGAACCAGTATGATTTATTGCTGTTAGGAACAGCACTCTCTGGAGAAGGAAAATGGTATCAGCCTGGCAAGAGAATTTGTTAAATAGGGAATTGTGGTGATGAAAATACCTGGTGGGGGGGGAATGTATGGGAGCAGTTAGTTCCCAGTGGGACAAATATAAGAGTGGCCCACTTGAGGAGGGGGGAGGAGGAGGTGGTGGTGGAGGAGGGAGAGGAAGAGGGGGAGAGGGAGAGAGAGAGAGGAGGAGTAGGAAGGAGAGGAGGAGGAGAAGAGGACCTATTGAAGTTGGGTGGCTAGTTATAATTTAAATAAACAAAATGCTCCTCCTCCATCTGAATTTGGAAACAGAAAGAGGGGAAAACCTTATCAGAAATAAAGTCTGCCGCCAACTCCGTGGCCATCATCACACACACATCTTCTGCCCCCAAAAAGTATTGTGAAACTTTATGATGGATGACACAGTACAATGGAAAATAGCAACCACAGCATACAGAGGGGAGTCATTTTGAATCCCTGTGGAAGGATGGCATTGCTTTGTCTCTGTCACTTACCCAGAGACATGGTAGAGATCGAGATTAGATCATACATTATCAAGCAGCCACAAGACACGGAAGCCACCTGCCGCTTAACAGATGTCCTCTCAAGGAGGAAGTATGTGTGGAAGTGGTCGAAGGCAACCCCAGTCAAAGATCTGAGTGGGAAAAAAAATATGAATTTTCCTTCACCTTTTATTCAAGATAGAAATTAGGTATTCTTGGGTGGCTTCTGACATTTCAGGACAAAGTAAATATCTCAAAGGTCCTTTTTTCTCTCTCTTCAACAGGTAACCTGGATTGTTGTTGTTGTTGTTGTTTCCTTGAGGAAGAAGAAAACATTTCGCTTCATATCTTCATCTTCCACATGAGGAAAAAAAAAACAAGCCCAGTCCAGTTGTTTTTTGAAGGAAAAAAAAAAAGCATCTTGGAGATAACTAGGACCTGGATGACTGAGAATCTCCACAGACAAAAGTTAGTAGCTTTCCTCCTTCTTTCACAAAGCAGATAGTGCCGTGATGGCAAATCTAGGGCACACATGCCCAAAGTGGCACGCGAAGCCATGTCGCCCAGCATGCGTGGCCTTGCCTATTTGACTTCCCGATCTCTGGTGCACATGCACGCGTGAAGCTGTCCTTCACACATGTGGCAGTGCCAAAAAACAGTGTGCGCATATGCACTGGCCAGCTGATTGTTGGATGCACATACACACCAGAACCCGGAAGTTTGGCATTTTTGGAGCACTATCCCTTCGCACACGCAGCAGTGCCGAAAACCGACCTGCGCGTGCGTGCTGGCCAGCTGATCATCAGGTGCGCATACACGCTAGAATCTGGAAGTTTGGCTTTTCCAAAGTGCGGCCTTGATGAGTGCACACAGATAAGATAATATACCTAAATATAATATATATTATACTATATAATATACCTCTTCTTCCTCCTCCTCCTTGTGACATAAAAGAAGTTTAACCTTGTCAGATATCATTTAAAAAAATATTCCATTTCTCAGGTCTGTGAATGCGAGAAACCCAGGATCCCCCAAGATACGAATGGTTTTCTGCCAGATGTTACGATCCCATTTGTTCACTAAGTTATGAAAGGGCAACCAATGCAGTGATAAATAAACAGAGGACGAAGGGGGGTTGAGAAACTTTCTCATTCTCGGCCCTTACCAACCCCCACATCTTGAAGTGCCTAGCTGCGGATTAAAAGCCCTTGAAGGGAGAGCTACATTTTATTCCCAAGTAGTTTTGGCTCAGGAAATCCGAAAATGTAGGATGCTGCTCCAACCTTGCCAAGTTTTTGAAGTATGTTCCTAGAAGAAGAGCCAACAAAATGGACAAGCTTGCAAGCTTGCTGCAGGGATGCCTACAGATGCTCAAGAACAGATGTTTGCTCTTGCTGGCCAAATCCTTGTCCCGCTTTAAGGTTGGTTTGACCTGTGTGTGAACAGTCCCGCGAGCTGTGCCAAGAGCGGTGAACAAATGGCGGCAGCCGGTTCCCACTCCGCTTCTCCTTCACTCTCTCTTTAGCCCGCCAAATGCTCAGCCACGCTTCCTTTTAAGCACTCAATTACCCCTGAGCAACTGAAGCTCATACATCCTCCTGGCTTAACGGCTCCGAAGCCATTTCGCCCTAATTTATGAGGACAGGGTTCAAAGTTTTAATAATATTTGGATAATATCATTGCCAAAGACGTCTCCGAGCGCTGATGGATGAGGGAGAGAAGGAGATGCATTTGGATTCCACGCATGACAAGGTCTGGGCGTTTCGCAGCACAGGCCTCCGTTTCAAACTCTTCGGGAAAACGTTCGCCCGGCTCTCCGTTCTTCTCATGAATTATGGATCTGTGAACGCGAGGGATTATAAACGGTGACGGAAAACACACAGAGACTGTCCGTACCGAAGGAGCTGTCCTCTTGGCAACTCTGTGGTCTACAGATAAATGGGTTTTGCAGGGAAGACCAAAATGGTTGACAAAACACTTAGCGGATAATGTATCAGGCCATTGGCATAAAATATACACGGGCGCCCCTGCCACGCTTGTGTATTAACGTTGACACTCTGCTCGAGTGGTTCCTTGGATTTATTTTTTTATTTTATTTTGACTCTTTCTTCCTCACCTTCTGGTATTTACATCCTAACAGCTGCGCCTAGGGGCATGTTTATCTGATGCTCCAGGCTGTTAGTTGCTTGACGCAGGCAAACCCGACCTTCACTTTCGGCAATTTTTTGCTAGGGGCTATTTTGATGTGTGAAGCGTTAACGATGTCAATCAATAGCAAAATAAGAGGAGGTGGAAGCCCGACCCCTTCTGAGAGTGAAGTGGCCTCCAGATGGATTCAGGACAGCAATGCAAATGAGGCTCCTAGAGCCGAAGCTTTAAATTTTGCACCTCTTGAAATCAAATTTTCAGTTGTGTTTTACTCAGCGGCTGGAGCCCGTAAAGAAAATATGTTATCTGCCCTTGTTATTCCATCATAATCATTGTGGTTGACTCCATTAGCCTGATTGCAAGAGCCACTTGTCTCAAATTCAGGCGATAATGACCACCCACACACAGAGAGAGACAAAGTGCTGGTCTCCTCAGATGCGAAACAATTTGGGTGAGGAGATATGAACATTACAGTCCACCGGGCTGCCCGTTCTTGGATTATATGAACATTTTGTATCTCCTATATTCAAACTAACGGCTGAAGTTATGCTTCTGTTCCATGAACTTCACTGGTCACTGAGTCCAATGCTTCTGGGCTCAATTCAAAGTGTTAGTTTTGATCTCTAAAGCCCCACATGGCTTGGGGCCAGATTATCTGAGGGACCACCTCTCCTCAATGACATTGGTTCAGCTCTAGCAAAAGAGATAGGCTATGGGCCTCATCTCTTAGAAACTACACTTGGTAGGCCCACGATGGTGGACCTTCTCTGTCATGGTGTCCACCTTAGGGAACATTCTCTCCCACGAAGTGAGGTGATCTCCACACCTCTTTATTTTCCAGGAGTCCCTCAAGACCTAGCTTTGGCATCAGACCTGGGGATATCAGGGGATCAATGAGGGAGTTGTCTCATGGAGAGTTGGCCATGGTGAGTTGTCATAGGCAAGACTAGTTCAAATGCACTGTGTCTTAGCTGACAAAATAAAGTCAGTGGTTTTGTTCTTCCATTGGCTAGTTTCCTGAATCAAGCAGAGTTCTTGTTTTAATGCCACCCTAGGCGATCTTGAACAATAATGTTCACTACTGACTTCTTCTGTCAGGGTTCCAAGTGACACCCCCAACGAAAGAAGACTCTGAGGCTTGAAGTTCCTCAAAGTTCCATTTTATAAGAGACGTCATATTGGCACATCTGGGAAAACCCGAATCTGAAAGCTCCCAGGTTTTTCCCACCCAAATGAAAGTCCAAGTCCCTTCCCCCCTTGCATCCACATGTCCATCACATGGTCCATCAAAGCACTGTCCCGACTGGAGGATGCCTCCCAGTCACGCCACTCCAGGTGCAGGGCAAGATGTCCTTGACTCTCTGAGAAAGGAATGTTATTTTGACTATACATCACCCTTGCTCCATACAATTCCCCCTCCCAGTTTCCCACAGCAGTAAATATGACAGGCCTGAAAGCCCAATGCAAAAGATGGCTCCCAGGCTTGACACCTTCCTTTTTTTCCTTTTCCTTTAGTATTTGCCTAACACTTTCCTCTTTTTTGGGGGGGGGGGGGGTATTTCTCCTTTTTTTTTTTTTTTTGCAATTTTTGGCAATTCTCCTAAATCTGGGGTAAAACACTGAACCCACAATATCTTAACTGTGAGCCCCACTCCACTCTCAATGGAGATTTTTCCTCTGATTCAATATACATGGACACGCCCAGTCAATTTTCTGATTTGAATCCAATGTAATGCAGGGTCAGAATTAAAATATTTAGCACTCCGCTTTGATGAAATCAAGACCTTTGGAGCCAGCTGTGTTTTGCCTGGAAACGTGTATATATAGTCTCCCTTAAGTCTCACAACAGACAGCAAAACGCTGGTTTGATGTCTGATAAAGCCTAAAAACTAGTGAATGAGATTTCACTGAACTATGGCTGTATAAAGATCTTGATTTACGTAGGACCCTTCTTCCAGACATCAGAGTGTTTTGCCAGAAGTTGCAGGATCCATTTAATCAAATGCGACGTTCTTAAAAGGATATTTTTGATACATGTGCTGTGGAAGACTCTGCGTCCTTTTGGATCAAGGACGTGTCATACTCCAAGCCAGCTTTTGTTTTGACTTGTCATGGGAGTCTTAAGGAAGAAGAAGCACTCTGTGTGTGTGTGTGTATGTGTGTGTGTGTGTGTGTGTGTGTGTGTGTACGTGTGCTGAATGGGTTAAGTATTGACTCCGCTTAAAGTGCTATATTTCATTGATTGAGTTGGCTTCAATTAAGAAATGGAGATACAGAGGTATCCAAAACAAAGAAACGAGATCTATATTCATTTGCCGAGGCAGGCGTTGCTCCAGCTGCGAAGTATATCTTTGCATCTATCAGCTGAACACAAGATGCAACGGACATTTCAGCGTGTGGGGAAGCCTGCTGGAATCGAGCCATGTTCGTTATAATTCTACAAAGAATAGAGAAGGATAAGAGGGTCGCCCAGTCCCTGATCTACATGCATTGAGAGAGGGGGGGGAGGGAGAGGGAGAGAGGGAGAGGGAGAGGGAGAGCAGATGTCTAAGAAATGGCAATGGCCAAGCAGAAACCAAGGGCATACCTTTGAAAGTAAGCAGATTAAGAGCCAAAACAAGGGATAGAAAGTCAGAAAGTCTACTCAGAAACAAAGAAACGTAGAATAAGAGGTCTTCTAGTCTAACCCCTGCTCAGGCAGGAAACCCAAAACCATTCCACCCACAACTTCTGGAGGCAAGGCGGTTCCATTGATTAATTGTTCTAACTGTCAGGGAATTTCTCCTTAGTTCTAGGTTGTGTCTCTCCTTAATTAGTTTCCATCCATTGCTTCTTGTCCTGCTTTCCGGTGTTTTGAAGAATAGGTTGACCCATGGGTGAAATCCAGCAAGTTCTGACAGGAACTTCTGAAGAACCAGTAGCAGAAATTTTGAGCAATTTGGAGAATTGGTAAATGCCACCTCTGGCAAATGCCACCTCTGGCTGGCCCGAATGGGGTGGGAATGGAGATTTTGCAGTATCCTTCCCCTGGAGTGTGGTGGGAATGGGGATTTTGCAGTATCTTTCCCCTGGAGTAGGGTGGGAATGGAGATTTTGCAGTATTTGTGATTATGCTCTTTAGACCACTAAGTAGAAAGATTATGGCAGGATTTCTATTGTTCTGTGTTTCCAACTACATTGTGAATGGTTCCTGCCCTTCTCTCAAAGGTGCTTTTTCAAGAGGCAACTGGACTTTCTCTGTTTTGCCTTGAAGAGGTTTCGCTTCTCATCCAAGGAGCTTCTTCAGTTCTGACTTCCAGTGAGAAGCTTCTTGGTTGAGAGGCAAAACGTCTTCAAGGAAAAACAAAGGAAGTCCAGTTGCCTCTTGAAAAAACACCTTTGAGACAACTGTGACCTGGATGATGAGAATCTCCATAGACATTTGTTCCTGCCCTTCCTTTCTCGGGTGCTCTGTGTTTTATAGAAATTGGTGCTATTTATGGAACACGATTGCCTTCCTGGTTAGACCAGTCCAGCAGCACCTCTCTGCTGTTTGTATAGTCCAGGGGTCAGCAACCTGCGGCTCTGGAGCCGCATGTGGCTCTTTCACCCCTCTGCTGCGGCTCCCTGTCAATCAAAATATGCATCACAACCGCCAATGTGTGACACCCACCGGCACGCGATTTATTGAGCTTTTCAACCTCTGGTAGGCCAATCATGAATAAATCCAAGAAAAGAAAAGTTTCAGAAGAAAACAGAACGTTTAATTCAATTACATATGCTAGTTTTGTGGCCGCTCAAGAAACAGTCAGGCATGGGAAGGGTTTTGTGGCTCCCGGTGTTTTCTTTTCTGTGGGAAATGGGTCCAAATGGCTCTTTGAGTGTTTAAGGTTGGAGATCCCTGATCTAGTCACAGCAGATGTATCACAGCTGGTAAGATTACGAAATAATTTTTTCCTGAATCCCCATGAATTGTGAATTGGCTTTTCTGCCCGCTTCTAATAGATTGCCCCTTGGCATGCTTCTAATTCCTGCTTATTGCTTGCTAATAGGGTGGTATTTTGCATGACCTCTTTCTATCTGATCAATGGGAGGTGTTGACAACCAGCCTTGTTCTTAATTGGGCTCTCCTAGCTAGAACAATGGATGATTAGCCAACATTGAAACAAAAGACATCATAACTCAAGAGGCGGCAGATGCTTCCCTCCACCATTTCTCTGCCCTACGCCAAGAAGCTGGTGGCCGTTGCCAAGTAATGATCTTCTGAAGACTCTTGTTCCAAACAAAGATCAATTCTTGGTCCAGCTGTTCAACCAATTCTCTTTGATAAGCAATGCCAGAAATCAACACCGAAGAATGAATGCTAGCACTGACTTCAGTTAAAGCTCAGGCCTCTGTCCTAAATTTATGAGCCCATACAGTGAATTACTACACTTAGCATTCTGCTAAAATGAGAAGAACTGGATCATGTACAGATCCACCTTTAGAAATAATGACAATCGTTTCAATGGAAATAAGAATGCAGAAATAAGAATGTGGGGAAGACAATGACTAGATGAGCTTAGTCCTTCCGTTAGCTTCCTGTCTTTCCACTCTCTTCTAGTTAAATAACAGAATAACAGATTTGGAAGGGATCTTGGAGGTCTTCTAGTCCAATCCTCTTCTAAACAAATGGCTGTCCAGTTCCTTCTTAAAAGCCCCCAGTGTTGGAGCATCCACAACTTCCAGAAGGAAGAGCAGTCCCGAAAAAGTAAAAATGAAAAATGAAAGTTAAAAGAAAAGATGAATGAAAAATGATGGAAATGACTGTACATGTAAATGTGTTTATGAGAAATAAAAATAAAAAAACTTTTTAAAAAAAACTTCCAGAAGGAAGCCATTCCACTGGTTAGACAGACAGACAGACAGACAGACAGACAGAAATACATAAT